AAACTCTGGAAACTCCAAAAGGATAAATGCAAAACAAAACCAAAAAATTTTAAATATTTAAGAAACAAATAAATCTAGTCTTATTATAGCACAAACGCTATGAGAAAAATCTTAAAAGCATTCAGAGAAAAACCTCATGAACCACAATCAAACCTCAAGCAATAAACTTTGAAAAATGAGAGTTAATCAACTAGTCAATCCATGACTGTAAGTTCCTGGTATGGTGGGGCAGGGTTGAAAAAAACTTCAATCCCCCCCAACTTCCACAAGCAATATAGCCTTTTCTTGGAAAACTGTAAAAGTTGAAAAAAGCACTTAAAAATGTTATTAAAGAGATGAAACTATGGGAAGGCTTTACCAGGCAAAAGTCAAGTGAAAGAAGAAACCAGAGAGGCAAGCAAGCACAGAGCCATTTTTGACTTGAGGCATTTACTGATCCTTGGGAATCAGAACCTCTTGTTTGACAACTTTAATGGGTGAGGGGAACAGAAGTGAAGTCTAGAGTCCACGCAAAGTGGAGGTTCCAGCGGGAGTCCCAGCCACTACCACGACACCTTCCTAGTGAGAATGGAGTGAAGGGGGGCAGCTCTGGCCTGGAACCACCTGGCTTCCCCCAGGTGCTCTCAGACCCTGACCTGTGTTAAAGGGTGCACAGAGGCACCTGGTTGTGGCAAACTGAAACTGTTTCCCCTGGAGTCCTCGATTTTACCTACAAGTAATTTCCCCAATACAATGCTAGTACACAAAGATGCCAAGCAAAATAATCTTTGTAAACAGAAAAAAGACCCTTCCCTTTTCTTTGTGGAAAAGGAAAAATGCTAACTTTATAGTGAAGGGGCCTGGCAAACACCACCTTAATTAAATAATCAAGGTCAACTTCCCTGCTGATGGTCAGGTTGGCATATAACCCCTGATGTAATGTGATGAGGAGGGCACTTCACCTCTGTGGTATGCTCTCACAAGATCCATAAGTGCATTCTAATCATGAGAAAACCATCAAGATGAACCCGAATTAATAATCAGTCCACAAAATGCCTGACCAGTACTCTTCCAACTGTCCAAGTCACGAAAGATGAGAAGAGACTGAGAATCTGTCACACAACCAGAAGTGAATAAGTGACAGGATGGCTAGATGCAGTGTGGAGTCCTGGATGGGGCTGTGGAACAGTGTACTGATGTATACTAATGGAAAATGTGTATTAGTGGGAAAACTGATGAGAAAAAGTCTAGAATTTCTTTCACCAATATTGGTGATGTTACCAGTATTGGTTTTTCAGTTTTGAAAAATACACCACAATCATGTAAGAGGATAATGTCACAGGAAATGAATCTGGGTGTGCAGAGCACAGAAACTTCTGTACTGTCTTTGCAATTTTTCTGTAAATATAAAATTACTCCAATACTAAACAAAAAATAAAACAAAAATAAATTCTATCTAGTATCTAATCTAATATCAATTCTCTTCAAATTTTAAAAGTTTATTAGAAAAATTTGTGAGTGAGAACCAGCAAAAACAACCAAAAACAGGGTCACAAACACTTCCTATGTTGAAAGTTTCAGGTGCCAAAATAAAATTTCTTTAATCTGTTAAGTCTTTTAGAAAGCTTTTTTATAAAAGAAGCTTACAGCAAATATCATCCATAATTGTGCACTGATAAAAACTTTCCTTTTGGGATTAGGATCAAGACGGAATCATTATTATCAATAGTTGTGTTTGCCATATACAAAGTACCTAGCCCATGTAGTAAGCCAAGAAAAAGGAATAATAAGTAGAAGGATTAGATCAGAAGAAACAAAATTGTCATTGTGTATACATTATGTAAATCCACATTTGTACATATATATCTCCATAGAAGTCATTAGAATTCAAAAGAGTTTGGCAAAGTTTCCATTTATTCTTTATCTTAGTAATGAGGAGCTAGAAAATCAAATTTAAATTGTGTAGATTTGATAGCATAAAGAAATCCAAGTACCTATGAATAAATCTAGCAGAAGTATAAGACCTCTAGGGAGGGAAATATAAATTTTATTAGAAAATATTTTTAAATTAATAATATTCCATAGTAATGAGATAGAAGACACAGTGTTATGAAGATATCAATTCTCTTCAAATTGATCTATACATTCAATGCAATCCTAAAACACTCCCGGCAAGATGTTGACAAGCTGATTTGGAGATGCAAAGGGCCAAGCCACTTGGGGAGGAAAGAAGACAAGATTTACTTCAACAGATATCAAGAGCTCATCTGAAGCCGTGGTCACTGTGACATCGTGGTGTTCGGGGCGTTAGGAGAGGCTCGCACAGGCCAGTGGCGGAGGAGAGAGCACGTGAAACAGGCCCTGCGTGTAGGACCCTTGGGCTAGTGCATCAAGGGGGAAAGGATGGTTTAACGAATTAAAGCTTCCTCAGAAAGATAAGAAAAAATTAGAGCTTTCAAACTGTAGATCAGATGGGAAGCAATTCAGTCTCAATAAGACTGGATATTTGGGGGAAAGAAAACATTCACCCAGATTAAGCTTGTGTAAGGTGGAGGTTGGGAGTCCATCAGGAGTGAAATGGGCTGTAAAACCACACGGGCAGGTAAAAAAGCCAGTAAAGCAACACAGAATCCAAACTGCAGACAGAATTAAGCTGGAAGAGTAACCCAGAGGGTGAAGGAAACATCCCCACAGCACTCACAATCACACAAAAAGCTCAATAAATACAGCAAGAGCCTAAAGATGGGATGGTGAAAGAAAGAAAAAGAAAGAAAGAAAGAAAGAAAGAAAGAAAGAAAGAAAGAAAGAAAGAAAAAACGAAAGAGAAAGAAACAAAGAAAGAAAAAGAAAGTGGTTTACAGTAAACCTACAAGGCCTTAGAAACAAATTAAGATCCCTTACCCACCCCCCACCAAATAAACATAATCAACTTTTTAAAAACATAAAAATAACAAGAAATGCAGAAAAGTACTAAAAATTAAATGATTGACGTGGAAGAAACGTTTGAGACAACCATCCCGAGCAGAAAGTCAACAATGGAAAGAGATGAGTATGTAGGGCACAGACACCAGCTGTGAAGGAAGCATAATTTTGCCCCACGATTGAAAAAGAAAATGTTTCTTTTGTGATGCAAGAGAAGGGACTCCAGTGCAGTGAAGGTAGACTTGAATCTGCCATCTTAAGAACACGAGAGCTGCGGTGAAGGGCCATGCGTGGAATATCCATCAGTAGCTTTTCTGCATCGCTTCGATTAATTAGAACAACAGAGGTTGCATCAATACTATAAAAAGCCCACACTCTAAACTTTAAGCTCTAATAAGACCAAGTTACCATGAACACAGTTCTAAGACAAGGAGAGTATATTTTTAACTTTCAGAATATTTAACAAATTCTCCCTTCTTATTAAAGAAGTGACGATCGTGTCAACTGAAAACACTGGCAGTAAATGAACCAGGAATTCATTGAAGAGGCAAATGGTCAAGAAACCAGAAACATTGTCCAACATCCCATGGGATCCGGAAAATGCACACTAAAACAGGATGCAACTCTTTATCTACCATCTTTGGAAAGTTTGGGTGTGGGGAGATGGCTTATCCCATTTGATATTGTTAAGAGAACATACTGATTCAACTACTTAGAAAAGCAATCGAGCAGGATGTATAAACAAGTAAATATTAGTAACCTTTGCCTCCCCGATTCTACTTTTTTTGGTTGCTGACATGAGACAAATACTTGTAAATGTGCACAAATATAAGGAAATCGATGATTCATAATCATAGTTTCTTGACAAAGTGAACTGAAGATGACCTAAGTGTCCGTCAATGGACACTGCAGGATGATTTCAAAATTGTGGTGTACCTATTCTATGGAAAAGCATGTGGCTCTTAAAAAGAATGAAGTAGACATATATTAAGGTGATCTCTAGAATTTTCACTATTAAAATAAGAGAAAATGAAAAATGTAAATAGCATATACAATATAATCCCATTTATTAAAAAACAAAAAAAAAGAAGCCAAGGCACAAAGTGCTTATTTAGGGAAATAAGCTACATCTATAAATGCACAGATAAAGATCTGAAAGTTTATGCCGGAAACACTTAATAGGACCCAGGTTAGAAGAGGTGGTGGGGTAGGTGGTAAACAGGATGCTTTTCCCTCTATATAATTTCCATTTTGTTTAAAATTTGCTGAGCAAAAAAAAAAAACAAAACAAAACAAAACAAAACAAAAAACAAAAAAACAATTTGCTGAGCAAGAATATATAATGTATTTCTTTTCTATTAAACAATAAATTGATCAAAATAGTAAGTAATATTAGACCCATTACTAGAGAACTAGATAGATTTTCCACCCCTTCTTTTTTTTTTTTTTTTTTGTCAGAGCCATAACCCCTTCCAGAACAACAACAAAAAATTATAGTAAAGATAAAAATCCTGAGCCTGCACTACATACTTTGGTGGTCAGGAGCCTTTCTCTTTTCTTTACTTCCTTTGGTCAAGATGATGAGGAAAAACCCAGACCCCCAGCCAGAGATAGAAGCAGGGCCCGAGCCGATGATGGAGGCCCATTCACAGGACCGGTGTTGAGACCACAGCACCCAGCGTTTGAGCAGAAGTCAGGTGTGTTTACTCTGCAGGGCATATTTTCTCAATGTGACCTTTTCTGAAGTGACTCATGAAGGTAGAGGAGGCCTGAGGGAAAGGAGAAAGTTCAGAGGTCATGAGGAGGAGACAACAAATCCCTCTGGCAAGCCTCAGAGAGGAGAGGGACTGCAGACTGGCCTCCAGCTGAGCAGCGTTGCAAAACCAGAAAGTCCTGCGTGTGGTGTGGTCGTGAGCTGACCCCAGCCCCCGATTTCCTCATGACCTCTTCCAGCACTTTATTATACCGCATTCTTGTAGACCGGGCCTAAAGTCCAGATTTTGTTTTAGGGTCTCAACTTTGGACTCTTTAGAAAGACAGTGAAGCAGCCCCCGGGCCAGAGAGAGGGAGGGATGATAGGGAAAGAGATCAAGACTGACCTGGAACTGAGGTCTCTTTCCCAATCGGCCATGTTTCCACTCTGGGCCCCCCTGGGCCCCCGCCTGGGCCTCAAGTATGGCCTCCGGACCCTGCTTTGGGGCGGCCTGGTTCACGGTGGCAGCTAAGCCCAGAGCAGGAAGTTTGTGAATTGACTCAGGCAGACAGAGCTCCGCCCAAGTTGGGAAAAGAGAAGTGAAAGTATCTCTCTTTTGCTGGGCAGATAGGGTTTGCTTCCTGCAGCTCCTCCATGGTTCTCAGGCCCCAAGACTTGTGACAGCAGGCATGGAGGGCGAGGAGGGACTCCTCAGGGCCTGGAGAAGCCGGGGCCAGGCCCTGGGGTCCACTTGTTGGACACAGAAACATCTGTATGTCCTCAAGTGCTCCTGCCCTTCTTCTAAAAGGGCTTCTGAGTGTAATGGGGTGGGCAGCGGGGAGCTCAGTGTTTGTCCCTTCCCCTGGCTGACACGGCTGGGGGGCGAAAGGAGGGAGAGTCGGAAGGTTCTCGGTTCTCGTCTTCTCCCTTCCTGTGGGAGAGCCTGCACTGGGTAAGGTCCCAGCGTGGGAACACGGGGCTGCAGGGAGCCCAAACGCTCAGCATCATACACCTGGGGAAATGTTCTTACTGTTCCCAGAACTCCGCCGCAGGGAAGAGAGAAGTCTGCAAGGCCACAGCCAAGGGGGTGACGTTGGTTAACATCTCCAGCACACGAGTTTAAGGTACCCTGACCCCAGGGATGATGAGACAACCGAAAAGGAGTCCCGGGAATGCTGAGCGGGGCAGGCTTCCTCCCTTGGATGGAGAAGGAGGCTGGAACCGAGATGACCGGGAAGCAAATGGGCAGGTGAGCCCAGTGGGGAGGGTGACCTCCGCCTCCCAGTCCTGTCTGTCCATGGATTTCTCACTGGGATTCCGAGTGCTCATTCCACAAAGCTTGACTCAATTACACTTGAAACTGCAGGGGAAGGAGTTTTCCACCCTCTTTCCTTAGATATCCTGTCTTTCCCCACAAAGGCGCCAACATCAGCCTGGCGAGGATTCCAGGATGCTGATAAGGACATCCTTACCCATGGGGCGCGGGTCTCTCTGCCTCTCTCTCCCTCCCTCTCAGGACTAGAAGGACTAGTAAGCTGAGCCACTGTTGGGCACAGCTGTCCTCTGCTCCTGGCCTCCATGGGACATGTGGCCCAGACAAGGCCCGACACAGATGACACCAGCCTTTTCTAGTGTCCCCTTCCTCTCTCCTTCTCTGTCCCTGGGCAGCAGCCTGAGCCAGGCCACCACCGTGCTGGATGTTGTCATAAACGTGCCAGCTCTTCAGTGGGTCTGCATAGGGTTGCTGAGATGGGCAGCTGGCGGGGTGGGGGCACCCGTGGGTGGCCCTCGTGGGGTTGGCCGTGCCACCTTTGGCTTCTCCTGGCCTGAAGGAGGGATGGAGCCATTCCTATGGGGCCAGAGGAAGCTGGGCGAGCCCCACCCCTGCAGGAGCAGCTGTGGTTCCTGAGAAATCTGGAGGTCTCTTGAAGAAAGTGAAGTTTCTGTCATCCAGAAAATGCGAGGCCCACCAGCTTAGCAAAGAGACAGAACCAGCCTGAGAAGTAGATTGAACTCCTGAAAATTCCACTGGCCTGATTTGCAGGAAACAAGGAAGCACCTGGGGCAGTTTTTGCAGCTGCAAGGAATAGTAGTAACACCAGGGTCCACGGTCCCTGTCCTGGAAGGAGCCCAAGTGCTGGACCTGGAGGCCTGGAGGCGGGAGAGGCCACGCTGAGGAGGGACCACCAGGCAAAGGACCCACCAAGGGGACGGGCTCTGTGAGTGTCCCCAGGAGCAGCTTCTGATCAGACTTTCATAGCGGGGCTGTCTCCAATCTGGGAATCCCTGTGGGGACCAGAGGTTTGTCCCTGGGAACTCAAGGGCAAGAAGCAGCAGCAGCCGAGCAGCAACAGTGGCCACTGGGGCAGGGGGATCAAGAGCCTTGGCACCTCTGTGGATGTAGAAATGGAAGGGGAGGGACCCCTGGGTGGCTCAGGGGTTGAGCATCTGCCTTTAGCTCAGGGTCCTGCAGGGCTGCAGGGAGTCTGCTTCTCCCTCTGCCTATGTCTCTGCCTCTCTGTGTGTCTCTCATGAATAAATATCTTTTTAAAAGAAAAGATTTAAAGGTATTATTTAAAATAATATCTTTTTAAAAAGAAAGAAGAAAGAAAGAAAGAGAAACAGGGAGAGAGCTGGTGCCTGGCACCTAAGTGGGAATACTCAGGCCCTGCTCCAGTGTCCCAGGAGGGGACATCCATCAATGGGGCTCACCTGGACCTCCTGCCTTTCCCTCCTTTCTGGGGAGACTCTTTAGTGGAAGGGGTGGATCTGCCCCTTGTTTGGGTCTCCCTGGGTTCATCACACCTGGAGAGGCCAGGGCTCTGTAGGCTTTTCCAAGGTCAGGTGCACAGGGACAGGAGCTTGGGGAGCTGTGGGAGGCTGGGGGTGTGTGTGTGATTGATTGGAGCACCCTGAGGCTGTGTAGATAAGCCCATTTTAGGGGTTTGGTTTAGGGATCCCCCCCCTTTTTTTTTTGCTACGCACTAAGCTATGATGCCCAATATCTGTTTTTCAGGAAAAGACCTGGTATTTTGAACCACTTCTGTTTCACTTTTATACCTATCTGTCTGCTGGTTTGGTACTCAGGTGAGGGAGAGGGATGCCCTTGGGAGGGGCCCAGTAACTCCCTGACTTGGGCTCAACACATGGGTACATGTTCTTTCCACGAGTTCTCGTCTGCCTGTGCCCCAGATGGGGAAAGAGGCTGGGAGCCAACCCCCCCTTGCAATTGCATGGTCATGATAGTTAGCCCCTGTGGATCCGGTGGTCATTTGGTGGCAATATTTCAGTGTTGAGGGGCTGCCTGGGGGCGGAGCCTCTTCTCCCATGAAGCAGAACCTCAGGGACTAGGCAGGTGGTGGCTAGTCCAAGGGACTAGCCTTGGACTCCCCGCAGCAGCAAAATCTGGACCAAGCCACGGAGATTGCTGGGGGTGCAGGTGGGAAGATTTCTCTAGAGAAGGGAGTGAATCCTCAGAGAGGGGGCTGGGAAGAGCATCTGAGGAGGAAATGGTTAAGGGGTGAGGGTTGTGGGGAGTGACACTGAGAACCACCAGGCCTCTAGAGAAAGGCATCGGGGCCACTTTCCGAAGGTCTGCACTCCCCTCTTGTGATCGTGCTTGGTATTACAGCCTCCCTAGAGCAGGCTTCTGTGGCCTTCGAGAAACTGAAACCGAAAATCCTTCTTGTAACTATTTAACCCCTGAAATGAGCAGTAGCAGGGCCCTGATTTCTTTCTACATGAAAGCATCGGGTTCTGAACCTTGGAAGTTCGTGCACACGCAAACAAGCTGGTGGCCTGGACAGAAAAGTCTAGTGGCCACCTGCTGACCATCATCTGGAAGGGAGGTAAGGGGAAGGGAGCCCGCCTTACCATCAGGAGCCCTGGCTAGAAGCCATCGTGGCCCAGGGAGACCTTGGGCACTCCCAGGGCACCTGTGCCCAGAGCTGAGAAAGTCCCTCACAGAGGGTGACGTTGGCCTGGCCAACCATCAGCTTCATGGTCCCCCAGGGGAAACCCCACTAGAGACTAGTGAGTTCTCCCCCCAGGGCCACATCCTGTGCTTTTCCCCTGCCTGGGGCATGTGTACTGGGCTCAGGAAACCCCAGAGGATCCAGCACACTAGTACACAAGGACCACGTGGGGCTGGCCAGGTCCTAAAGTGGCCCCGGGAACACATAGGCCCTGAAGCTCTCCACCAGGCCCTGCTGGCCATCATATGTCTCACCTTAGACCAAGGTTTGTCAGGAGCAGGTAGGTTGCAAAACTGCCACATTGTTTCAGGAGCAAGTGGCCTCTGGGGTCTCCTGGTACAGTGGTTTCTGGGCAAGACCACAACCAGCATAGTTGTCATGCCTCAAAGACAATGACACTGATGTTGAAGATTCGCCTCTCTCATTTGACTCTGGTCCCTTATCCTGGGGCATAGAGGGAATACAGGGAACATTCTCTGAAGGTCGGATGGCCTTTCTGCAACTTCTCCTGCCTTTTGAGAATGGCCAGTGGGCTAAGTCTAGCAGGTGACATCCTCCCCTCTATAGAGAAAGGAGACCCCTCTGCCTTTTCCAGGCATTCTATCAATAGTCTGTGGCACTTCCTTCCATGAATAATTCAGGGAGTTGGGGGATTTCAGCCTCCTGAATGAGGGCCTCATGTATATCCAAGAACCTAGATCCCAGGCTAAGTCGTAAGGACGATGGTTTCCATGAGCCGTGCCTGCAAGAGCCCAGTACTGGAAATTGTGTCTTCGCCTTCAAGGGTGCTTGAGCAGGGGGGGTCTGGGTTTACCACTTGCCATCAGACAAAGATACAGTGTAGGAACCCAGGGGCTATCTTGTATTTCCTGAGTAGACGCAAAGTCAAGGCCTTGGCCATCTCCTATATGACACTTGAGGCCACAGGCAGTGACACAAGATTTTGCAAAAACTTTTAAGAGCAGGCATGTCTAAGGGTGTGCAGAGTGCATCTGCCACAGGCTCCATCACTGTTCTCCGAGCCCCTGGGAAGCGGTCACAGACACCAGACAAGCCAGAAGCTGGGGCCATTTCATAGCTAGGACCTGTGCTCCTGAGACCTCAAGGCTGGGGGCCTGCATCTTCCTTCCCATCCAAACACAGGCAGCTGTGGATGGGCCCTCAGAGGGCGTGGGATGGAGCATGGTCCTCCCTACCTCCCAGCAGTTCTGGTAGAATGTGGCTGAAGATCTAATACATTTTGGGACGGAAGAGTCCTAGATTTGATGGAATGTAGGAATAAGTGGTTTCAGGTCAGATGAAAAATCTCAGACCCGTGGATCTGAGCAGCAGTGCCAGCTGAAGGTTGGATAAGTATCTGATTATTGTTCGGCACAGTCCAGGCTGGGTCTAGGTTTACTAAATAGGCAGCTAGTTGGCACCTCTTGCGGAATCAGAACATGCCTAACTTGTCTTAGCGGGTCACTCACACGGCCAGGCTCAGACTTCACACGCTGCCTCCTCGGGCACAGCTCAGACCAGTTCAGACTGCTTTCACTTAGTGCCAGGCATCAGCCAGCAGTTTGGGGGAGGGTTTAGACACAGAA